GGGGCTATTGAGTCTTCAGTCTGGCTACTAGGGGTGTGCGATATTGAAAAGAAGAAAAAAAAATCTCGATATTTTTGTTAATTAGGCGATATTTTGCTGAGTGTGTTATTGTGCTGATATCTGACTACCATGGACTGCTGCAGTTTTTGATATTCTTCATTCTGTGTGGTCAGTTCACATCAGTGAACTAAAATGTATCTTTTCATTGATTTTTACCTTTTATGGGCACTTTTACCTTTAATAAAGCTATTTTTTGTGCATCTTTTGAGTCAAATTGTTACATTTAATCAGTCAATTAGAATAATAAGATATTTAGGCTGTTACCAAACAAATGAAACCAGCATCAACAAAATAAAAAAAGTTGCATCTGAAGTGGCATTTAGATGCATTTACACACTATTTAATTCAGCTCAGAGGGACACAGTTTAACCTGCAGTTACAAATGCATAATGTTTTGATATTTTAAACATAAAACATTGAATACTGATGTTTGAAATGAAAAGATACTTTAAATGTGAAATTAAAATCGGTCACTGTAAACAAGTGAGTCATTGCAACTGAACCGAATCATTTAAACTGTTGATTCATTCAGGAACGAAACACCGTCATTGCTCAGAGATGCAAAACTGTTCTGTGGTGGCTGTTTGGAATAATTTTTTGTTGGCGAAATAGAGCAAAAACAGGCAATATGGTGTTTAAAATGTAAGTCTCTTAATATTAACTTATTGTTTATTGAATTGAATCATGCTTATTTTTGAAGAAAAAAAAAAACCTGACACTCTTCGTGTGATTTTAACTATATGAAATGATATATGTACACTTTCTGCCCCCACATCTTGAATTTTGTGATCTTTCTTAATGCATTTTAATAGACTGGAATCATGCAGTGAAAGAACACTCTCTAAATGCGCACGAGCACTGTTTAACCCACTAGACTTCATCACGTAATGTATGCGTGCACTCCGTAAGTGTTTTGTTTGGTTTTTGCAAAATACTCGATAATGTCAAATCGCACATCGTTAAAACAACAATTACGATATTATTGCAGACAATATATATCGCACACCCCTATTGGCTACCAATACAGGGTTCAAAACGCGGTGCGGGTGTTTTTATATGAATGAATCTCCGAAGGGAGCAGACAGTCTTCAGACAAGTTTCTGGCATTTTCATTTCAATGCCTGATAAAGCAGCGTTTATGAGCGCAGCGCTGCTTTGTTTACCACGGAAAACGCTGTATTTCTGCCATCTCAGAAGCTCCACCTAGTGGCAGAGAATGAACGTGCAGCGTTTCAATCAGCCCGTCTGCTGTTTCTGTTCAGATCAATGTGAAAATTGATCTTGGGGGAAGAAATTTGGAAATTTAAATGGTTTAAAGGCTTAAATGTGATGTTTATCATTTTATAAGACTTTTTTTTTTTGTGAAAGCCTGTATTTTATGGTTTAATATGTTACCATAGATATTGCCCTACTGTATTCACTTTATTTGTGCAGGTCATAAAAAGCCTTAAATTGGTTTCTGCAGATACCCTGTAAATAGTCAAATAGAATTCCTTGATATTTGAGTTTGATTGACATTTCGACTTAATTCGATTTGATTGACATTGAGTCCTGGTATATAAACGGGGTGTGTGTGTGTGTGTTTACCTGGCGGGTGTAGAGGAGGGCGAGGGTTTCTCCTCGGCGGGTTTGTCCTCTTTGGCCGCGCTCTCAGACGGGGTTTCTGCGGCCGGGTCGGCAGACGGGGTGGGGCTCGCTGTCGCTGTAGCGCTGGAGGCGGTGCTGGTCGCCGTGGCAACAGATGATGAGGAGGCTGATGCAGGAGTAGCTTTAGCCTGCAGGAGAAACATCGAATTACTCACAACTTCTACATGTACATCATTTCTCTTCAGTGTTCAGTAGCTTCACCAGATGGCTTAGTTTAGCCAATCATAACAGAGCTCGTTTAAATACAGACATCTTACAATAAGCCACGGTTAAGACAGCTGACTCCACTGTGATGTGTCTCGCTCTCTCTCTCTCTCTCTCTCTCGCTCTCTCGCTCTCGCGCGCTCTCTCTCGCGCTCTCGCTCTCTCTCTCTCTCGCTCTCTCTCGCTCTCTCTCGCTCTCTCTCTCTCGCTCTCTCTCCAACAATGAACTGTTACAATTATACACTTGTTTTCACATAGCTATGAGAAGCATTAAACGTGGACGCGCGTGCGGTTGCTGTACTGTATTAAAGCTCTAATCAGAATAAAACCGTATATTAAAAGCTAACATAAGCAGTAGGATTTACAAATAACAGCGTATCTAAAAGTATGAGACAACAAACAAAAAACATAGGCCTACCATTAAAAGCCTTGCTTGCACAGGTTCTGCACGATCCTCTTCAATAATATCCTCTGCTTCTCAATCGAGCTCAAACTGATGAGCGATATTAACGACACCGTTGTTTACAATACAACCGGAGCACATGCCGCTGAGGTGAGGGGCGGGACCTTAGACGCGCACTAGAGGCGGTTTAGCCAATCACAACACACTGGGCTAGCTAACCAATCAGAGCCCATCACCTATTTCTGAGGGAGGGGCTTCATAAAAACAGGAAATGATCGGTGCTTTTATCAGAGAAGGGACAGAGCGGTGTGGAATAAAGGTAAATTATGTGAAAAATAATGCCTTTATTTTTAAACGAAGCATTAACACATGTTAAACTGCACCCCATAAACACAATCAGGCCTAGAAAAAAACCCAGTGAACCACCACTTTAAGAAACATGACATGCTTTTTGATTATTAAAATTTTATTAAACCATTAAAACAGGATCCAGAAAAATAAAACAAACAAAAATCGAAATAATTTCATAGGGCCCTAAAAATGTAGTTTTTGTAGAACTTTTAATAAACGATTTCAAATGATCACTGAAATATACTTTTTGATTATTAAAATTGAATAAGCTTTAAAAAAAAAAAAACGATTTCATAGGGCCCTAAAACCGCAACAGCACATGATGCTTGATTTAGATCCAAAAATGGCCTCAATCTCAAAGCAATGAAACTTTTCTTTTCACTTCAACCCATTTATCTGTTTTCAAAATTCCTTTTTAGTATGTCAGAATTCTTTTAGACGTCAAGAAGCAATGGCACGCATAAGCCTGATAATGCCTCACCTTTGCTACCATAACCACCACAAAGTTCTTCTCATCCATCTTGTACTCCTTGAGAGCCATGTCATCGTTCAGGATTTTGCCTGCAGGGGACAAAATAATTAAAACAAACGAGCCGTTCATCGCGTCTGAATCTGACAGGTGTCAGTCATTCATCACCAACTGACTGGAGGCCAGAACGATGCTCCTGCATAAACAGACATTATCACTGCATTTAACACAATAACCTGTGAAGACAAATCATGTGCGTTACGCAGGGTCACGTTCTTATCAGCTGGACACTGACGGCCTACAGTCTCACCGCTGAGGACGTACCTGCATATATCAACTTCTGTCCCGCCACCGGAAAGTTATCTTTTCCCTTCTCATTCTCTATTTTTTCCTTTAAGGCTTTTACCTGTGAAAGACAGAGCAGGAGAAAAGGAATCAGTCCTGAGTGAGCAAACAAGCACGCAGATGCTTTTCTGTGGTCCGGCTCAGCGCTAAAACCAGTGACGCTGTAAAACCATCATTACACAGCTCATCAGATCATTTGTTCAGAGCGTAATGAGTGTGGAGGATGTCAGATCAAACAAGTACTCCACTATCTGATCTAACCATTGAGACTTACACATTTACCAAAGTCCAAAATCAATCGGATCTCAAAGCAAACATGGAAGTGGATTCGACGCGGCTGTTTGCACTCCAAAAAATGACTTATTGGAGCCAGATATGGAAAGCTGCTCAAACTGTTTGCTGCTTTCCTGAGAAAGAGTATTTTTAAGAATAAGCCGTTCTAAAAGGTCTGATAAACAGGAAGTGTGGACTAAACCCACCGAGGGTCTTCCTTCCTAAAGGTCCGGCTGACTTTTGACCCTTCACTACTTGTGTTTCATCTCATCAGAGGACGACTGTGTCTTATTTAACTTGTCGTTTGCCCCAGATAAAGAGTTTTTTTTAAAGAAAACTCATCTGTAAACTGCCAGTCTAGTTAAAGGAACAGTTCACCCCAAAACGACAACTGTTTTATTTATTACTCTACCTCACGTTGTTCCAAACCTGTGAGATTCCTTCTTCTGTTAAAGGGGTCATATGATGCGATTTCAATTGTTCCTCTTTGGAGTGTTACAAGCTCTTGGTGCATAAAGAAGATCTGTAAAGTTGCAAAGACTAAAGTCTCAAATCCAAAGAGATATTCTTTATAAAAGTTAAGAGTCAGCCTAAACGGAAACACCTCGTTCTAACACGCCCCCACATGTCTACATCACTATGTGGAAATATTAGCATAATGCCACCCAAATGTTCACGCAACGAAAGGCGGCGTGGTTTCAGGAACAGCAGTAGTGTTGAAGCAGCATGTCAGGGAGACGCTATGTTTCAGTGCGAAAGCAAAAGCACTTTATTTGGTCTTCCGGAAGTAGATGCAATTAGGAATCATTGCTGAAGATTTATTTATAACAGAACAGCACAACACAGATGTTCGAATTTGTGCAACGCATTTTATGGACGACAGTTTTTTGAACCTAGAAGAGTACAAGGCTGGCTGTGCACAAAGGCTATTTCTAAAAAAGAAAAAGAAAAAAGGGTCAATTCCGACTTTGCTATGACAATCTGAGTCAGCGACTGTACGTATGTTTTGTTATTAGTATTTGCTATTGACTGTTAAAACGCGTTGTGTGTATGAGTGAGTGTGTGTGCGCGTGTGTGTGAGTGTGTGCGCGTGTGTGTGTGTGTGTGTGTGTGTGAGTGTGTGAGTGAGTGTGCGCATGTGTGAGTGAGTGTGTGTGCGTGTGTGTGAGTGTGTGTGTGTGTGTGTGTGCGTGTGTGTGAGTGAGTGTGTG